TGGGCACTTAGAGGGGGTTTGTACAGCCGAATCCCTACCCGTTCCGCTGTGATCAGCATACGATATTGAACCTGCCTTGATAGTCAACCGCGTACCCGATACAGGGGACGTAATGCCTCGGTCACATTCACGGTATGATTTGCTTCAACTAGATATGAAACCACTGCACTAGTGAGTGACCTGATCGTTCTTGTATTTAGCCATGGGGGGTGGTGTTCACGAATTCGTTCGGACAAACGCCTGACCGTGCGGCCTGTGTACGTTGTTCCACAAGAACACACAAATGAGTACACACAAATGAGACGACAGAATCTGGTATTTTGTTCTTTAGTCGTAAACACACAATTGACTGGTACGTGAACAAAACATTGAGTTATTCTGCGTCGAATGTTTTACTGACAGTATCGGATAGTCTCCTTTGTATTATCTCTGCTCATGTATCTCCCTTGGACGGCAAGGCAGTGTATACCTGGGTCTTCTTCACAGTATCTCCACTGTACTGAATTGTCTCGATAACCAGCCATTCTGGATAGCCATTGTATGTGAAGATAGTGCGTAATAACCGGAGCTCATCTCCTATTGTGTCCTCACTACAAATTCCTTGCTCTATCTGTTAGGCGGCGCATCAAATTCCTCCCCACTTTGAGCGGTACAAAGCTGCAAAAATGAATATATTGGCCTTTCCAAGTCGCCTTCCTATGCACTGATCGTTGCGCCGAGCCATCTCGTACGCTGTGTTTCGCTAATCCAATTCTTACTGGCTCTAGTAATTTAACCAACCATTTTGCAAGTGTACGGTGAATATGTATATGCAGAATCGGTTTCACGGGTACCTGTTCCTTGTGCACCTTCGGCAACCCGTACAGTATGTGAATCGTTGTCCCAGTTAGCCGGATTCGTTCGAAAGTGGTAGCATCGATGAATACATTTTTCCTTAAACATCTTCATATCTTAGATAACGCAACCTCTGTTTAATCGGTCTTACCCTTTTCCGTTGTTTTGGTGAATTTCAACCTGTCACTCAATATGGCTTTCATCTTTTATACATAATCCGTTCGGTTCAGAAGCGCGATCTCCCCCTTTGTCCGGTTTGGATATCATGACTTTTCTGTTTTCCTGCAGAGTCTGAGTCTTTTGAGATGCTCTGGTGTCACTGTATGGAAAGGACGACCACAGGGAGTGGATCTTCAGAAGTACTTCCTGTCAGTATTCTCGGAGCAACAACTTTTTTCCAGCGAAAAATTAATTTTTAATCTGCTAAAAAGACCCTATTTTGTTTATCTGAATGCGGAGGTATTTCAATGTGACACACGTTTGTTTTGAGCGTTCAAAAAGCCGTGTGCGACTGCTGTATACCATTTAACGATACAATAGAATTTCCTCCTATCTTCTGTCTTGTTGACCGGGGACTGTTGGAGAGTTTGAACTGGTGGCCAAATTAAGTCAAGTCACTGTTGTACGAACTGGGAGCTGCGCGATGTTGTCCACTTAAGTGTTTTGCACCAAAAACAATAGGATTGTTGCTCCCGGTGTAAACAAACTGTATGGGTTAGCAGACAAGCAACAAAATGGTTCCATGATCAAGTACAAGGAAGATGTAGCATTAGACGATTTATGACTGACAGTTGTTTCGAGATTTCCGGGGTCTGTACAAGGTGAGGAGTAGCTGAAACCGAAAGATTTGTGACTGTCATCCACATAACTGATGAGAAAAATATCTCAAACCAAAGATTTGAAACTGGGAGAATACCAACAGTTCTCATATTGCCAAAGTGAAACGCTGAAAATTAACATCAATGGTCAACCGGGCACAAACTGGGAATTTCAAACATGGAAAATAAGGTTATAATCGACAGAGTTCTTTCAAAGCATCGTGGGTAAATAGCAGATTACGTCACGTGAGGACAAGAGAAAAAACACGATCTTCACGGTTTCACAGCTAATCCTGTTCATTCTTTTATTCGCCTCACACACACTAGCGTTCGCGTGCGAGAGCGAAACAGAACGGAAACAGTTGGTGTTATCGAGTGATTGAAGGTGGCCAGAGTGGGTGACTGGGTAAGCAAAATAGGAGCTTTAGTCCACTCTGTGGGGACGTGTGTGTATCTCTGTATGTGGACAGACCGCGAGTTCAGAAGCTTCTTCCCTCACCAACCGGTTCGTAGTAGATCGACTTTAGCTCCCCCAGTAATAAAAATATGACCGGAGACCGTTCGTATTCTGCAAATGAAGCCAGCATGCATTGATGCGTGAAACAAGGATTTATACACTCTTATTGAAACCATGGCCACGTGATTTTCTATTGTCAGTCAATGTATAGGATTGTATGCTATGAAAAAATTCCCATTGTTTTCTGATTGCACTTTACCTGCCTCATAAAAGTTATTAAAAATAGTCCTATCCTTTGTTTGCCAGATTCGATAAAGTCCCCAAAAATGAGGACCAATTAAACATCAACCAGTCAAGCAATTAACCAATCTC